AAAAAACAGTAGCAGAAATCTCATGTGGTTTCTGGTTATCTGTGCAGTATTAGGAGTTGTGCCTCTGCATACTGCTCCTACGATACTGCAGAGGAAAATAGACGTCACCATGACCATGCCTTCTGAACTTGCCAGGCTTGCCCTTAGAGGCTGTGCCAAAAGGGCTAGCTAGAACCGTGACCGCAGGGTTCCAGCCTAGTCACACTGTATGGGTTGGAGCTATGGGAGAGACCCCAACTCCTAGCTCCCTGAGATGTTGGCAGGCACGCTCAGCACAGAAGGTTATGTCCAGCTCAGAGTGAGAGAGGAGCCAAGTCTGGACCTCTTTCTTCAGCTGTTCAACAATTTCAGGGGCTGTAAGGGACAAAGAAACACAGATCAGGGAACCTGCTCAAACTTGGCTAGAACTAAAACGCGTCTATATTCCAGTGAACCAAGGTGAGGTCATACCTATATCCTCCTGTAGGGGGTGCTGGTGATAATGATGATGATGCAGCTGGAGGAGGAAGCTCTGTGCCAAGATGACCTCTTTGGCATGTTCCTCCTGGGCGCGCAGAGCAATGGCATCCAGCAGCTCTGCGTTGTTGGATGTACTGCGGTAGTAGAGCATATGAACCAACTCTAGGGAGTGGACATTTCGGCGCTGGCCAAAAGCCTTTGAACATTTAGAAAACAACCCAGAGTTATCGTTAGAAAGCCAGACTTGCGGGGGAGGAGGGGACACTTGGGACATACACAAGAAAAGAAGCTGCAATTCAGGCCTCACCTCCACAATAGATTTGTAGGGCGGAAGCAGAAGCAGGGTGCTGTTTTGTGTTGCAGTGAGACCTTCAAACACATGTTTGGTATGTTTTCCCAGAGATGGGAAAAGCGACTGTTTTAGACTACTACTTCTAGAACATGGCTACTGGCAGGTTCCTATGTTGTTCCTATGGCAAACAAGATTGCAATTGAGAAGAACAAACCTGTCAATCACAGGTTCCCAGTTTCTAGGATTAAATTTGCCTTATCCTGATTCTGTCCCATGTAGAGACTTTTTAAATAAAGGTCTGAACAAAAACATGTGTTTCTCCAGGGTGCTCCCATTTTATTATGGCTTTTCTCTGTTGCCTGCACCTTAATCGCAAGTATTTATACAGAATTATTTAGTACCCCAAAGTGCTACGCATATATTCTCTCACCAACTTACAGGGAAACAGGCCAAGAAACTGTAGGATGCCTATATCCATTCAGTGAGTCAAGTGCAAGGTAAAATTTGAATCAAGGGGGTGCTGGCATCCTTTTCCATTTCACTCCCCACACAAGCTCTTATTAATAGCAGTAAAGCAATCCCTTGATCAACAATACCATGAGGCCTCCTGGGCTTTGTGAATGGTCACCACGTCATCTTTCAACTAAAATGGTCAGCCCCATCCCTGATGCAGTAAGAATATAAAAGCCTTCCTGGATCAGACCAAAGATCAATCTAGATCCAGATTCTGTTTGGGGAAGCCCACACAGTGGCTCACATTACATATTCATCTTATTCCACTAGTCCTCCCTCTTGGGAGAATAGAAGAATCAACTATA